CGTTAATAGGTCACTATCTACAACGATTGATTGTAAAATTCCAAAGGAAATGTGGACAGGAGAGCAGGTAGATTACTCTACGCCAAGGATCTTCGGATGTCCAGCCTATGTCCATGTGCAAAGTGGGAAATGTTCCAAATTAGACTCTAAGTCTAAGCAATGCATATTTCTCGATTTTGAGAAGAGAGTGAAGGGATTCAAGCTTTGGAATCCTACTTCACATAAGGTTGTGCTTAACAAGAATGTTGTATTTGATGAATCTCACATGGTGAAGTCAATCAACATGCAAGATGACAAAGTTCAAGTAAATGAAAGTCAAGGAGATGGATCGACTGTCCAGGTGGAGCTAGAAGAGTCTGAAACACCAGAAGAGGAAAAATCATCTAGCAGCATACCAAAACAAGAACAATCACATAGTGAACCCTATAGTTTGACAAAAGGAAGAAAGAAGCGTGCTCACAAAGCCCCTGTGAGATACGGCTTTAAGGACATGGTAGCCTTTGCTCTAACTGTTGGTATTGAGAAAATCGACTCCTTCGAAGATACATTAAGTGATACACAGAGTGATAAATAGATGATAGCCATGATGGAGGAGATGGAGTCTCTGAAAAAGAACAAGACTTAGGAGCTCGTCAGGAGGCCTAAGGGAAGGAAAGTGATTCGGTGCAAGTGGATCTCTTGGAAAAAAGAGGCAGCAACAGAAAAGGAATGTGAAAGATTCAAGGCTAGACTCGTAGCAAAGGGCTACGCTCAAAAAGAGGGAGTGGACTACAATGAAATATTTTCTTCGGTTGTCAAGCACACTTCAATAAGGCTATTACTTGCTTTAGTAGTCATGTTTGATTTGGAGCTAGAACAGCTTGACGTGAAGACAATGTTTTTTCATGGTGATTTGGAGGAATAAATCTTTATGGAGCAACTTGAAAGCTTCAAGGTGCATAGAAAGGAAAATCAAGTTTGTTTGCTCAAGAGATCGCTTTATGATCTTAAGCAATCTCCTAGGCAGTGGAACAAATGCTTCGACTCTTTCATGGTGCGGATTGGCTATTCAAGAAGTGAGTATAATTGTTGTGTTTATTTTAAAGTTCTTGATGATAATTCCTTATTCTCTTGATGCTTTATGTTGATGACATGCTCATCGCTGCCAAGAATGCATGTGACATAACATCTCTCAAGTTTATGTTAAGTTCTGAATTTGATACGAATGATCTAGGGGCTCCTAATAGGATTCTTGGTATGGAGATTCATAGATATAGAAGTGCAGGTAAACTATGGGTAACTCAAAGGTATGTTGAAAAGGTGTTGGAGCGTTTCAACATCGAAAAGGCCAAGTCAGTTAGTACTCCATTGGCGAGTCATTTCAAGTTATCTAAACGACAGTGTCCCACTACAGATGAGGAGATATAGCGGATGTCTCATGCTAGCGCAGTCGGAAGCTTCATATATGCTATGGTTTGTAGCAGGCCGGATTTATCTCATGTTGTCAGTGTTGTTAGTCGATACATGATTAATCCTGGAAGGGGGCATTAGAATGCTATTTAGTGGATTTTCAGATATTTGAGCGGGATGTCAGATCTCGGAATTATATTCAGCAAGAAGATAAGCTCTACAGAACTGGTGGGATATGTTGATTTCGACTATACTGGTGATTTAGATAAGCGAAGGTCTACTACAGGTTATGTCTTCACACTAACAAGTAAACCTATTTCATGGAAGGTAATGCTTCAACCCACAATTGCCTTGTCTACGATAGAGGTAGAGTACATGACAATAGTTGTGGCTGCAAAGGAAGCGATCTGATCGACTGGTTTGGCTCGTGAGTTGGGGGTGGAGCAAGAAGGTACTGTGTTGCATTGTGATAGTCAGAGTGTCATAAATCTTACAAAGAATCAAGTGTTTCATACAAGGATAAAACACATTGATGTGCACAAGATCAGGGAGCTTGTCACAAGATCAGGGAGCTTATGTCAGAAAGAATCATTCACCTGAAAAAATTCATCCGAATGACAATCCTATAGATATGCTTACAAAGCCGGTTACCACGGAGAAGTTCAAGCTTTGCTTGGACTTGCTTAATGTCTCTCATTGTTGAGAGTGAGGGAAGCACCCCATGGCAGGTGGGGGTCCAATAGCATACCTTTATGGAGGTACAGGGACGGGGACGGGGCGGGGACGGAGACGGGGATGAAGACATCTTCAAGCTGGCTCAACAGAATCCAAGCCAAGGTGGAGATTGTTGAGGATTGATGTCTTGTATTCTGAGGAATATATCTGCTAGGGTGGAGTCAAAAGGATGACTCTAGAGGGCCGTTCAATGCTCGAAGGGCCAAAAGGTAATTTGGTAATTTATATCATCCATTTGAGACTCGATATATATTATTGCAATTGAGGGTTCATCAAGGGTTAAGGGTTAAGAGAAAAATACAGATCTCTCTGTAATTAGATAAAAATAGAGAGACATGAGGAAGAGAGTGTATTGTAACCCTATTTTCATTGCCAGTAAAGAAGCTCTAATCTCCCGTAGATATAGGCACATTGTCAAACCACGTATATCTTTGCGTTGTGGTTGGTTGTCTCTTTCTTTTGTGTTTGTTTCTTCTTTTTTGTTTTCGTAAATTGCTTTTCGTTTCTACAAAACTCACGTTATTTACTAACATCATTCTCATTCTCATTTTTACAGGAAACAACAATATCCAAATAAAACCAAGTCTGATACAAGTTTTCTTACTAATATAAGTGAACATGGACTCGTTAATAGCCTCCCTCCATGTCTACGTGTGTATTCAAAACTTTGGTAATGTCTTGTACTCAACATTTTTCTAATACCATATGAATAAATTTCCTTTGTTGCTTATATATATCCCAGTCTTTCTTTCTCATCTATTATGTACTCTTATTTTATGATAAACAGCTACCATGAACGCACATATATTGTACTTTTGTTAAGAAAATTGCAAATCACGTGCGGAGCAGGTGCATATAGCTAGTGCAACTAAGAGGTTTGACAATTACTATATCTCCAACATGAATTATGTATACATGATTCACATCATTGATTGGCATGAGCCAAAAAGCTTTGTAAGCTTTGTAGAAGCAGTAAGCAATCCAATTAAGAAAAGCCATGAATAAGCATGAGCCAAAACCTTTCAAAAAGCACCAAAAACCCCAAAGTGGCTATATGCTATGAAAAGGGAGAGGATTTCCAAGAACCAAATATAGGATTAGGTTCCTCTTCAAAAGAGCAAGAAAGCAATTTATTTCAAGTGGAAATCCAAAATAAATTGCTAAATTGAGCATTTGCAAGTAGATACACAAAATAAAACATAAATACCATGCTCAAATTGTCATGGGTGGTGTGCTATCATTCTGTTCATGCATGACAGCCTAGAACTCACCCTTCTGATCCAAACGAATTTCATTAGTCCAGCACATACACCAAGAGATTTGCAATCAAAAGAGAACTGCCATTCCAAAAATCTTTGCCTGGGTCCCTACATTCGTCTCTCCTCTCAGACTCATGGTACAACTTTCTCTCTCCTCTTAATACTTTATAGTACAAGTTTCTCTCTCAATTCCTAGCTTGTGCCCCTCATCTTTACCTCTATGTAATCTGACGTCTCTCTCTAAACCTCCTATTATAACTTCTCTATTATCACCTCACATTACAAACGCCCACTAATTATAGACTTCTAATACTAATCCTATTCCTAGCACAATTCTTTAGGTTTAACCTAAACTACTATTCTTGAACTCTTGGTTCGTGTGAAACTTTTTTTAAAAATTTTCTTCTCATACGGTCAAGTAAGAAAATATTTTCCTATCAATTGGTCTTAGTGCATCTTTTCAGATGAATGCATCTTTTTAGATGAATAGGTAATTCATTGATGTAATAATAATTCATGAAAAAAAAAAATTCATGTGAAAGTATTTTCTATAAAATATTTTCTCGCAAACCAAATTTGCAGTTAATCCTATCTATTTGATAAACCTGCATGCGGGGCTCTGCTTTTTTAACGTACATTTGTTTATGAAGAGCAAGCTTGGAAAAGCCTTCTTTATGAAGAGATTGGAACACTTAAACATAGTGCGGAAGGACGCATCCACGCTACCCAGCTCTTTGAACATTTCAGTGTCCAAATCGATAATATTTTGTATATGACGGTCTGAAAACAATAAAGTTATTTATCTTTGATTCAAAGCAGTCATAATCACGTATAACCATCTAAGGTGAAATTTAATGGCTTGTGTGTGACACAAAATTCAAGAATTTTTTTTTAAAAAAAAATTTACGTTTAGTCAATAGAATAAAAATAACTATCTAATTTCATCTCTAATGGTAAACACTTGTGACCACCTCGTACCAAAAATAAATAATATTGTATATTTTTATATACATGCACAATTTCTATAAATCCATATAGAAACTAATCACCTCTTTAAAAATCTATTTATAAGATGGATTTTTTGACCTAATTTTTAAAAATAATCTCTAACATAGAAATCATGAACATATAAAAAAAAAAAAAAAAATTAAAAATTAATTTCAAAATTAGAAAACATTTACAGTTGACTTTAAAATAGATGCTTTAATATACTTTACATTATGGTAAAGATTAAAAAAAAATTTAGACATTAATGGTCACTTTTATATGTTCCCATTTTTTTCAAAAAAATCTTAAACATACTTTAAAACACAAATTGATTCGTTAAAATCTATTTTTTTATTAATTTTTAAAATATGTTTTATTTTAATAATTCTTTATATGTTTTTCACATTTTAATCGATTTTTTTTATATCTTTTTTTATTTTTTTACTATACTTTATTGACCGCTTGAGAGGTTAGAACGGTTCAATCGACTGGTTTATTGGTTAAGCCATTTAAACTGCTTCCAAACCAATGTCGGCTAACCGTTCCGATTTGATTTCGTGAATACTGTTTAAATTTTACCGACCGACTCGATCCAATCCCGTTTGGAGTGAACATTTTTAAGCCACCTCCTTTTTCACCTCAAGGCTTTCGTAACATGCATCTTCAGTGGAAAGTAGAAGAATACAAATACTTCATCCTCACAAACAAACACACACAGCCCATCCCCTATACAAAATTGTCCACGTCACACGCCTATCTTCAACCACCGCTGTTTTGCAGTCCAAAGATTAATAAATACTTTCCTTCACACCCCCATTTAAAACAGACGCACGTGTTAAACTCTCAGAACAAACGTGTAAGAAGTGGACCCCAGTAACATGCATGCCTGCCATGGAACGCTCTGCCATTACGAAAGCGACGCGGAAGGACGTCATGTATTATCCCGCTGCGACACCCGGCGTAGTTTTAAGCTACGAAGGCGGCGGTTGTGAACGGCGAATATTGCGCCACGTTGAGCCGGCGGTCGGATCCGACGGCACTTACGCGAGCTCTCTTTGCTCTTTCACAAGCTCCTTCTTCCGGCCATTTTCTATGTTTTTCATGTGTGAAAAAGTATTGTTGGTCCTTCGGGTGTTCCGTCACGGACTCGAACCCTACTTCTCCCCATTCGGCTACCATTTCGGCAAACATATTTTGGAGGTCATCTATTGTGTAGCTCCTCTCCTGCCATACGAAAACAAAAGAATACTTCCTCAGAAACATAACTCAAAAACGAAAATATAAAGAAAAATGTGAAGAAAAGTAGCAAATCAGGATTTGCAGGTACTGTGAAAAACCGGTTCAGGAGATAAACAAATTTATTGCTCATAGCTAATTGGAGGATTAAACGTTTCATATTTTCTCTCTTTCCTAGTATCGACTTGGGTTCCGTTCATTGTAAAAATAACAATAGATTTACTCGATTTTTGAAACTTTAAATTTTATAATTAAAAATAAAAATATATTTTAAAACTATCACAAAGATATTATGAAACCATGTTTCAAGACACTATATTTGAAGGTGGGCTTTACTGTTGTTATCGTTTCGATCGTGGCCTTAGGATCCAAAATATAAAGGGAAAAGTTTATATAGAACCGAGGCTCTAAACAATTAAATTGGAGGCTCTAAACAATCAAATTGGATCCCACTTCAAAAATTTCACTTCAAAAATTTCACTAGAAGAGTTTGTTTTGATGTCCAAATATCCTCAATCATCAGGACGCATGGACGTGATAAAAAAAAATGGCTTCTAAATTTTAAAAATAGTATATTTTACGATGTATTTTTGGATAGTCAATTTTTAATATTTTTAAGTTTTTATAGATCACTCCACCTACACTATTTTTTTTTGTTTTCGAAGTTTTAAACTTTATAAATAAAGATAAGAAGTTATCACAAAAATTTACAGTATTGAAACCACATTTTTCAACAATATTTGAAGGTAAGCTCTGTACAAACCGCACTCGAATAAATATAAAACTGTTCAAAATGTGGCGGGGAACATAAAAAATTCCGTGGGAGAAGTATTCACAAGCTTCGGGTGGAATTCGTACCTCTGCTCTCACGTTAGCCATGAGCCCCACCATTTCCTGTACGAAATCGCAAAAACCCTGAAAATATAACAAAATAAAAATAAGCATTCCTCCAGTAATTAATAATAAGTAATCACTGTGGTTATTAAGTAAAATCAAACATTTGATCATGCAAAACCACTATTATAAATACTTTTATACTCACTTGGTCTGTTTCTTCCTCCGGACTATACAACCCTGCATCGTACAACGTCCTCTTGTTGTGGTCCGATAATACTGCCCCCCAAAATCACATAGAAAAATCTATTTAGACAAAAGTCCAAATAAATAGGAGAAAAAAAATCTGCCACTGGTGCTAAAGTTCGTCTTCGAGGCATTGAGAATGCTCATTGAATGATCAATTCAATAACAGAAACAGATCTCGGATCTCATTGATAATGGCAAGTTTCATACTAAGTATTCCGGCGATCCCCCTACTATCGGAGTCCGAACAATATTAATGTAGCAGAAGAAACAGAGAATAAACAAAAAGAAGTGATGGGTTGCGTACCTTCATATGCTTCTTGAATCTGTTGAAACCTCTTCTTCGCTTCTTCCACGAGACGGGGATCTCTCGCCCACTTATCAGGGTGCCATTTCTGATCAAACACGAGAGATAAAAGATCAATAAAGTATGAGTTGTATGACACGGCGAGTATTTAATGTCTCACATTTTAGAGAGAAACCCCATTCATAGTAGTTAGGAATAGTGTTCGAAAAATCGAACTGCCCTTGAAACCGGCCAAGGGGTGGATCCAAGTAACGGGCAAACCAGCAAAGTGCCAAACTTTTGGAACAGAGAATACCATCTGGTAGAGAAAGAGAGATTACCATTGCAAGCTTCTTGAAAGCACTCCGTATTTCGAAAAGCGATGCATTCTTGCTCACACCCAAGGTACTGTAATAAGAGGGCAGACCTTGATAGATTTCCATTTCTCTCTGCAATGAAACTTCAATCCATAAAACAAAGAGCACAATTTGAAATTCAGAGGAACTCGAATCGTCTACAACGAATGATAGAAGACAGTTTACAAATTTGAATCGAGAATAAATGACCAGGCCGGCAAGGATTTCAGATTTCTGCAAATGATTGGTGCATTTAGGGGAGAGACTTAGAGTGATGAACAAACGAAAATTAAGAACAAGGGAAAGGGGCAGATGGGATATATATGGAGTGAGATGAGACCCATGAGTATTATCTAGAGAGAGAAAGAGAGAGAGGAGAGAGAGTCTCAAGATGAATAGGGAAACATTCGGGATGTTTCTTCTTACGTGGCGCTCTTTGGGGCAGTGTTCCAGAAGATATTTTTTTGATGACGAGCATTATACTTTTGAAAATGACGAAAATATCTTTACCGAGCAACGAAAAATTACTGAAGTGCCCTTTAGTGCGGCGCGAATCCAAGCCACGGCGGGGAGCAGTGTTTTAAAACCCGACCACTGGTTTGGGAAAACCGCTGATTAGGGTCGAAGTTAGGCGCGGACAAAATTGGTTTTTGCCTTTTATTTTTTTTTGTATGCGTAAGATTTCTTAGTGCCGCAAAATCCCATCAAGAATTTTATTTTAATTTTCATTTTAAAAACAAATCATAATATTTTGTAGATTACCCATTCGGATCAATCTAAATTGTGGACCTAACGATCTAACATAGATCCGGAAGGTAAACAATCCAACCGATTGATCTATTTTCTAAAAGAATAGTTTATATAGAGCCCAGGCTCAATACAATCAAACAAGGTACCTCAAAAATTTCACTAGAAGAGGTTGTTTGGATGCCCAAATATCTTGGAATTGATCATCTCGACATCATGCTGCATAGACATGAGAAAAAATGGATTTAAAATTTGAAAATAGTGTATTTTGTAACACATATGTGGACGGTCAATTTTCAAGGTTTTCATGCTTTTATAGATCGTCCGATCTACACTACTTTTTAAGCTTTAAATTTTATAAAAAAAAATGAAAATATATTTTAAGGCTATCACAAAGATTTTTAGTATTGAAACCACATTTCTCAATAATATTTGAAGGCATGCTCTAATTTGATTGTTTAGAGCCTAGGCTCTACACAATCCACACCCTTTTCTAAAACACTCGCAGGAAGTAAAGGTACCACAGTGATATAATTGCTAGAAAATTTATTTTCAAAAATTGAAAATATTGACTACGACTACTATAGTAACTGTCAATTGGGCTGATTATTTGTCAGTGGGTTGATTACCCTTCAAAATGGACAATTTGTCAGTTTTCCTAAGATATCATGTTTTAATATAGTTATTAATGATTCAAACTTCAAATTATCTGATAAAAATTTGGGTACAGTTTGTATAGAGCCAAGGCTTTAAACAATTAAGTATATCGCAACTTTAAATAGTGTCAAGAAATGTGGTTTCAATACTGAAAATCTTTGTGATAGCCTCAAATATATTTTGATATCTAATTATAGAATTTAAAGCTTCAAATATATTTTGATCTCTAATTATAGAATTTAAAGCTTCAATTATATTTTGATATCTAATTATAGAATTTAAAGCTTCAAAAATAGAGTAGATGGAACAGATCTATGAAAACTTTAAAATCATGATAATTGACAGTTGAAACATACATTACAAGATGTACTATTTCCAAAACTTGAAATCCATTTTTTTCTCATGTCTACGCATCTTGAGGTCGAGATGATCAATTTGAGGATTTTTGGGCATCAAAACAACCTCTTCTAATGAAATTTAAATCAGTGGGGAGAGGACCCCTGCCCTTGGTAAGAATTGAGAGGACCTGGGCTCTTTTCCAAAGTTATATAAACATTTTCTTACTTAAAAGGTGAGGTTTGTATCATAGGAGAAAGCGGAAGGGGTGAAATACCTGCTTTGCTCACACTGAAAGAGATGAACTCTGATAAAAAAAACGAAAACCTAGAATCAAAACTTAGAAAATACCTTATATTAGTGATCATATACCTATCTTTGCTTAATTATGTCAAAAGCGATAGTTCTTAGTGTAATTTGCTATATTTCCATTAATAGAGTAAACCGGAATATATAAAGTGTATACAACCGAGAAGAGAGGGAGAAGTTACAACCGAGAAGAGAGGAAGAAGTTAGTGCATAAAGTTAAGAGAAGATATAAGGTTGACGTGGCATGGTAACTGTAATACTCCCCCTCAAGTTAGTGTGTGAGGGTAAAAAATACCCAACTTGTGTTGTAGATGATCAAAGTTGTCTTTGCCTAGTTCCTTGGTGAAAATTTCAGCTCGCTGATTATCCGTTCAAAGATACTTTGTTGAAATGATTCCTGCCTGCAATTTTCTCGAACAACATGGCAATTTAGTTCAATGTGCTTGATGCGTTCGTGGAAGACTGGATTTGAAGCTATGTGCAGAGTAGCTTGGTTATCATAATACAAGTGCATAGACTGAGAATGAATGAAGCCGAGGTCATGGAGAAGATGTTTAAGCCAGAGTAGTTCACATGTGGTGGTGACCGTAGCCCTGTATTCAGCCTCGGTAGAGGAACGAGATACCGTAGATTGCTTTTTTGTAAGCCAGGAAATGGGGCTATTGCCAAGGAAGGTACAATAACTAGTTACAGACCGGTAGGTGATAGAGCAGCTAGCCCAATCTGAATCTGAATACCCTGATAGCTAGAAGTCGTTAGACGACTGCAGAAAGATACCTTTTCTCGGGCTAGACTTGAGATAACGAAGGATGCGAAGTGCAGCACCCATGTGAAGGTTGATGTGGGTTTTGCATGAATTGACTGAGGACATTCACCGAGAATGTAATTTCAGGTCTAGTGATTGTCAAGTATATCAGGCTCCCAACGAGTCGTCTGTAAGGACTGGGATCAGATATAAGAGTTCCATCAACAATGTGGAGTTTGAGGTTTTGTTCCATGGGAAATGCTGCAGGTTTAGCACCTAGAAGTCCAGCTTCTTCAAGAATGTCTAGAGTATACTTTATTTGGGACAGAAAAATGCCTTTGTTGGATCTAGCTACTTTGATGCCCAAGAAAGATTTCAAGATACCAAGATTATTGATTTTGAAGTGGCTGTGTAAAACTCTTTTAATGATCTCAATAGTGGAGTTGTCGTTGCCAGTGAGTATAATACATATACTAGAATAATGATGATCTTGTACTGATTTTTTAAAGTGAACATGGAATAGTATGCTGTAGACTGTTGAAAAGCAGCTTGGAGCAGTGTAGTGGAGAACTTGGAGAACCAGTTACGAGAAGCTTGTTTGAGGCCGTATCGGGATTTTTTTAATTTGCAAACAAGGTGTTCTCCATGCTCCCCCTTTCGAGGAAATCCTGGTGGAAGTCGCATGTAGACCTTTTCTGCTGGGTCTCCATGTAAGAAGGCATTGTTCATATATAATTGAAAGATGGGTCAGCTTTGTGCAGCAGCAATGGAGAGAAGACAAAGAAAAATAAATAACTTGGCTACAAGAGCAAATGTTTTCGTGGTAGTCAATTCCCTCAGTCTGTGCGTATCCTTTGGCAACTAGGCGAACCTTATATCGCTCGATGCTGCCATCAGCATGATACTTGATTTTATATACCCACTTGCACCCGATGGCATGCTTACCGGGTGGTAGAGGGGTAACATCTCAAGTTTGATTGGCTTCCAATACTGCTATTTCTACAGTCATAGCATCTCTCCAGCAAGCATGTTTAGAAGTAGAGGTGAAACAACTAGGTTCTTGGTTAGAAGAGAGGGTAGCAAGAAAAGCTCTTTGGATGGGAGAAATTTTTTATAGGAAATGTAATTGGTAAGGGGATGATTAGTACCTGAGTGAAGACCTACAAAAGTAGAGTGAGTGGTCTCTCGGGAAGAGGCGACTTGGGCACACTTGTAGTCGGCGAGCCATCCAAGAGGACGATCATTGCGAGAGGAGCGGCATGGTGGCTGTGTTGATGATGAACTGAGATTTGTGGGTGAGTGTGATGAGGTGTTGAGTGGCGGAGAGGGCAAAGGGGTACTCGGTTCAGGTGGGGTGGATTGATCATCGATGAGTGGTGGATTGAGGGAAATGGAAGGAGGAGATGGTGAAGTTAGCTCATGGTGGACATCATGAATGATAAGTAGAGGAATAGGTGCGCTAGAATGTTAGATTGTATGGTAGAAGATACAGAAAAGAATGGAAACTGGGATTCATAGAATGTGACATCTCGATTGATAAAGAAGGTCTTGTCTTCCATGTCATACAGTTTATAACCCTTTTGTCTATATGGATAACCAACAAGCACACATTTCTAGCACAAGGTGAAAATCTATCTGTGGTCTTGGTATGAGCAAAGCATAAATAGCCAAAAACATGTAAGTGCTTGTAGGTAGGTTTGGAATGGAATAAGATTTCATGTGTGGATTTTCCATGGAGAATGGGAGAAGGCAAACAATTAATGAGGTAAGTGCCTGTTAAAACACATTCATCCCAAAAGGCGAGGGGTAAATCAGCTTGGAAGCGTAAAGCACTGGCTTTCTCAAGCAAATGGCAGTGTTTGCATTCAACAACTCCATTCAGTTGGGTTGTGTTGACACAAGAGCGTTGGTGAATGATGCCTTTGTCATTAAGGTATGCTTACATTTGAGAGGAAAGGAACTCAGGCCCATTATCAGAGCATTAAGGTTTTGATGGTGGAGGTGAGTTGATTCAACCATGGCAGAAAAATGTTTGAGACAAGAAAATGTCCGCTTTTAAACTTCATTAAAAAGGTCCAAGTACATCTACTATAGTCATCTACAATAGTTAAAAAATATCGTGGACCAATATGTGTTGGTGTAGAATAGGGTCCCCATATGTTACAATGGATCGATTGAAAAGGAAATGAACTGTCATTAGAACTAAGTGGAAAACAATTTCAAGTTTCCTTGGCTACAAGGCAAATGTCACAAGGAGTACATTTATTTACTGAAATAGAAAAAACAGAGTTCAGACACTAACTCCTGCAGTCGTTGGTTGAAAGGGTGTCCCAGTCGGTTGTGCTAGAGTTGGAAAGATGCCGCGTGATTACAGGAGTGTGTTATTCCTAGATCCTTGTAGAAATAGAGTCCATCACGTTCTTCACCTAGACCAATCACCCTCTTCGTATTGAGGTCCTGAAAAACACAAAATTTAGGAAAAACATATGGCAGCACAATTGTGAGTTTGGGTCAGTTTATTGATAGAAAGTAAATTCAAATTGAAAGAGGGTATGCACAACACATCAT